TGTCCGTACCTACTGAGTGAGAGTTAGGAAGATGGCTTATCAGTTTTTGAATACATTCGGGAGAAAAATTAATGAAGCTAAGAGAAGCGTCAGACAACGAAGGAATTAAAGGGATCGGATCGCATCTGGGTTCCTATCGCCTCTAAACTGGTTTTCAATTCGCCACTTCGACATGAATGGCCTCATCCGGCATATGAATTCTTCCGTGATGATTCCCTGACTCGATCCTTTTGCTCAAGTCTACATACAGGCCAGTCCTGCCTGACCTGCCTACTTACCCCTCCATGAAATCCGTCATACAATGCCATATACAGTCCGGTCCTGCCTGCTTTTTATAAACTAAGGAGCGAGAGTTTTTTCTCCTTTAGTTCTTATCCAGTCGTACTCATCTTGTTTATGTTAGGAGGTTTTTTACTGCTCGCTCAACATTCTTCGTAACATGCTACTTATTAAATAACTATGAATTAAGTACTTTAATACTTCTATATACCTCGTCTAAAATTCTAAAATTAATGTAAAAGTTATTCTTTCTTCCTATGATACGACCCCCACTGGTCTTGAATAAAAGTTATTAGTATTATAGATGGAGTTTTCATCATCCAAGTGTAGTTTCATGTCTTTTGGTTCTGCTAAACTTTCTGCTCCCATAATTTTCCAAAATAACTCACTCTCAGGATGCTTCACCATAAAGGCCCTAGGTCTAAGTTATGCAAATAAACTTGCTTTATCACCTCATACAGCTAGAATCTCTGTCAAAGCCGCGCAGATATATGGATACATATCGCATAATTTTTCCCTTCCGGAACTGAAACTAAGACTTTATCAAATGTTTGTTCTTCCAGTCCTCGAATACTGCTGTCCTTTCTTCGGTTTAATGGACGCCTGTGACTGCGATAAAATCGAAAATGTTCAGAGGGTTTTCACCCGGAAACTGTTCGCTCAAGCTTCGTCCGGTATTTCTTATACTCAGAGATGTCAGCTGGCGAACATGAAGTTTTTGTGGGTTCAAGACTCGAAGCTGGCCTTTGCTTCCTTTTTCACATCAACTCTAGCTCCAATTTTCCGTGCATTGACACTCTCACTCCGAAAGATCGGTCCTTTGCCACGCGTAAATCCGCTATGGTGATTCCACCGCCGCCTCTTTGCACTACATCTAAGCGCTCCCTCTTCTTTGCTTCCCAATATGCCTTCCTTTGGAATAATCTTCCGCCTGAAATTAGGTCAGCGCCTAGGTTTTTGGTATTTAAGTCGAAATTACGCAAACACTTTACACCGGAAAGCATAAAGGCACTGTTAACGGTCTCATTCCCGAACACTCAGATTCTTGACTTCGAGAAGGGTCCTCCTGGGATTTAGTGGTAGATCAAGTGGTAACCCTCAATTATATCATTGGAAACCTGTTTTGAATTGGTTGCTAAATCCACTGCTATCACTTCTCCCCCATATTAACCATTTTCGCGGTTCTTCATGTCATCTCCCGCATTTCGACTTCATACGGTCTGTCGACGCTCACGGCGGAACCCTCAGTATTCACCGCCTACTAGTAGTTTGGTCGTACCTCCCTTCCCCATTCCTCAGCTGGGTTCGAAGGGTACTGTGGCCGATCGCGTCTGGGTTCCTCTCGTCTGGCTTCTTTGATTCGAATAGTCTCATCCGGCGTATCAATCCTGCCCTGACGATGTCAGTTATGAATCCCGTATACAATACCACATGCAGGCCAGTCCTGTCCGACCCGCATACGTACCCCTCAAGGCTGGCATTTATTTCTGCCCTGACGATGTCCGATTATAATCCGTTATATACCGCCACATACAGGCCAGTCCTGTCCACATTTTTCTGTTATTATTTTTTAGTGAGGGGTTTTTTCTCCTGTAAAATCCATCCAGTCATTTTTAAATTTTTGTGTGGAGTTTTTTTTCACCTTTCGCTAGTCATTTTTCTCAACGGACTGCTAATTCAGAAACTGTGAATTGCATTGTGTACAGATTCTGCTTACCTCGTCTAAAATTCGCATGTAAATTTATTTTTACTCGCTTTGGTGGGAGCCCGACGGGTCTTTACTAAAAAATTATTATTATTATAGAAAGCAATTCTTCAGTCTCATTAATGTCTTCAACAATAGCGAAAACATCATCCACGTATCTTTTGTAGAGCAGCAGCATATTCAGTTTCGTGGACACTTTTCTTCCAGATGACTCATAAGGATGTCAGCAAAGGTAGGGCCGAGAGGACTTCCCATTGCCACTCCGTCAATTTGCCTATATAATTGGCTGCTAAAAAGAAATTGAACGTTCTTTGTGCCCAATTTTAATGCGTTTTGTAGTGTTTCAGATGACAGACGAGTTTGAGATGCATGGGCACATATGATGCCTACTGATTCATCCAGTGGTACGTTAGTTTAAAGTGATGCTACATCCAGGGATATCATGTATTTGCCCGAAATGTCTTGATTTCTGATTTCTTCAATGAAATGAAGGCTGTCTCTTAGCGTCGTCGGATTGGTTCTAATTCCTTGACTAACCACTGTGCTACTTTGTGAGAAGGTGAATTATACATAGACAAAATTGGTCTTCGGGGTATATCCCTTTTATGCGTTTTTGGTAATCCATAAAGTCTGGGAGTATATGTAGCGACACAGCAGAGAGAATAGGTGCTCTGAGCACTACAATCACCAGGTCGAATCCCAAATTGCAAGGAGAAGACTGAAGGCACCAGAATGAGGGGTTTGTTGTGCACAGAACCCGGAGTTGCCCTTTCAGGCAGCAGCAGTGGCTACTGGCGAAGCCAGGGCTGGTGTTGACTGCGTCCAGTCAGGGCAGAGAGTCCCTGAGACAGTGGTGACAGCCGCTTTTGTAGGCTCGTGGGCCAAGCTCAAGTAGTCTCCAATCGGTGTGTGTTGCATTTGACGAGGGGTTGTGTCCCAGTGGCTTAGGTTGTGGTTGCAGGGAGTGGGGTGCGTTCAATTGACCGCATAGTCTGCTGCGGCTGTGCGGACGCAGGTGTGTTCGCGCTGGAGTCGGTCGAGTGGCTTCAGGTCAGCGCATCTGGAACGGCTCGCTGCGAAGGCGTGAATGACCTTGTGGCAGCGAGGTCCTGAACAATGACGCCAGACCGGTCATGATGGCTGCCCACTACATATATGAACCTCTAGGTTTTAGTCAAAACGCTGTTTTGTAGTCCAACAAATCGTTGCCCAACAACTTTTTAATCGTTTTCAAGGCGGAGTCCTCCGATGCCTTGGATTCTTCCTTTCCCGACCTTTCGAAACGGGATTTACTCTGGTCACGTAAACTAGCCTCCATTTTTTTCACGTAGTCACTGTGATTTAGAGTGACAACCCCATGTTCCTTGCCTGGTTTGGAAATTAGTATTTGTTTTTGATGTTTTAAAGTAGATAGAGCAGTCAAGTGTTCGTTAGCTAAAGGTGTACGTTGTGTTATTGGAGTCCTGCGTCACTGGAGCAAAAAATCAACAAATTTTGCTTTCAACCGGCCCGCGTCGTCGGAATATTTGGGTAGTAACTCAGATAATTGACAATTCAAGGCCTCGAATTGCGCTTCAATTTCAAGATATCAATCATTTTGTTCTGGACACAGAAATCAAGTCCTAACGACAGAGCCTCTGTTTGTAGTTTAGGAAGTTTTCATGTCATACAGATTATAAATAAGTTCTTTTGCGTTCAGTAGGAAAATATCCTCGCTACGTTTCTTGCTAATTAACTTCAATAACTTAGGACGAATTGATTCACTAGTGTAATTTTCTATGTTATTTTTGTATGCATGTTATTTTTATGTTATATCTCACAGGCATGAGAGTGCTGTAGGTCACGTTTAGGAGGAGCGGTTTCAGTTTGGCTCCCAGCTCACTATTCCGCCATTCCACACACAACTGGACGGACTGCGTAAACTGAGTTGGGGAGTCAGTCAGCAGCCTTCCAAGCCACGGCGTTTGAGGTGCCGTGATAGTCTCAGACTCGAGTCGCACATGCAGCTTTGGAGCCGCACGGAGACGGAGTCAAGACGCACACTTCCCAGTTGTGCAGGAGTTGGTATCTGGGCGTCCGTGGTGGGTGATGTTGATGTACGATGAGATGCTGGTAAGGGAGGATGTTACGGTGTGACGAAGGCGGCTGTTGTCTACCGCGGGTTTTCGTAAACGCGCATGTGGATGAAGAGGTTCGTGCGGTGCATGAATGCGTGAGTGCGATGTGGACATTGGAGGCAGATGCGACGAGTGTAGTTTGATGCTCCAGGCACTGGTTTGTCAGTAGCCGACCAGAGTGGTGCGTTATGTGAATGTGTGGGGACGGTATGAACTTGAGAATTTGGCGGTGTCAGTGTCAGCTACGGTGACTGGGGTGGTGGAACTGGTAGTGGTGGATGCATTGAGCGACGGGGTCTGAGTAGGGTTGAGCGTGGTGGGTGTGGTGAATGCACCGGGCTTGGTGTGTTGGTGACGGTGTGTGCGCAGGGTGGCAGAGTGAGGACGGGCCAAAGCAAGGTAGGTGGGCTGGATGTGCTGGATGTGTCGATATTGCAGTCAATTCCGCACTCGTGAATACCCATGTGGCCGAATAGGCCCATGCGGTGCATGAATGCGCGAGGACAGTGTGGACAGTGGAGACGGGTGAAGCGGGTGTAGGTTGGTGCTCCATGCACTGGTTCGTCGGTCTCTGTGCGATGGATTCGCAAGTGACCGACCATTCCAATGTGTGCGATGAAGGTGCAGTCACAATGAGGACGGGTATAGACCTGGTCCTCACCAATGGTGTCCACGGTGATGGTGGTGGTGGTTGTGGTGGTGGTGGCGGTGGCGGTGGTGGTGGTGGTGGTGGTGGTGGTGATGTTGGTGTGTCAGGACTGTGTGCAATGTTGATGTTCGTGGTAGACGCCACAACGGCGGACGCTGAGGCAGTGGGGATGAGGAGGTGGGGGAAGGTGAGGAGGGGGAAGGGGAGGAGGAGGATGGGAGTGGTGGTTCGGGAGGGCGATCAGAGTTAGTTAGTGGCGTAGGAGGCGAGGGAGTGGTGAACGAAGAGACGACGGCTGGTACAGTTGGTCCAAAGGTCTCCAACAAGTCAAATTGTCGCCCGGAATGTCCGCTGGCACCGTTTTGGGCGGTGGAGCATTGGCGTTGCGAGATGAACGCAGCTGGGATTTGCGTGCCCCTTGCTTGGCTTTCGCGGCAGCCATGCGACTGGCCTTGTAGATCTCCCCGCCTGTCTTCATTGTCCTTCTCCAGGTCGGTCGGTCTAGAGCGAGGTCTTTCCAGTCGGTCGAGTTGATCTGCAGACGCCTTAGGGAGATCTTCAGTGTGTCCTTGTGTTGATGGATTTGGCGTCCTTGGCGGTGGGAACCCATGGCGACATCTCCATAGAAGAGTCGTTTGGGTAGTTGTTCGTTGTCCAGCCGCACGAGGTGGCCGCTCCAACGCAGTCGCAGTTGTCTTAGTATGGTGTGGTTGCTGAGAACTCCCATTCGCTCCGATACGTTAGTGTGGGGATCCGGTCCTGTCACCTCAGCTTCAGTATCCGCGAAGACAGCTGAGGTGGAAGACGCATACATAACAAATATCCCGTATACAGGGGTGCGTTGTTGCGCATAAATTTAGTCGCATGTTGCACTTACATGGGGTCTTCTTAAATCTGTGATAACATCAAGCCCGATTTGGCGAGTAAAGAGCGAGCGAGTGCGTCATATGCAAGAAAAGTCTACGATCACCATAATCTAGTTCATGCGCAAGTCATCGTCCCTGCGAACACTTCGGTGTGTACACACGGTGGAAAACGTCGGGGGGGACTTTCAATCCGCCCTGTCATTGAAACATTATTCACATAATTTACGTGGCCTAGTTTTTAAACACATTTTGTGGTGAGTTGACGTGGTACCCAGCTGAGGTTCAAAGATTCGGTAGAACGCAATGAACGCATACAATCATCAAGCGTTTCTTGAAAAAACTGCAGTGTCCGCACCAACAAATATTGGTGGGAGGTAGTTCCACCTTTATTTTGCCCGTTGTATAAAGAATCCAGAACGATGACTTGGACTGGGCAGTTTCCGTGCACGTCCACGGAGATAAGGCAAAAAGATCCATTCAAACATGTCGTCAAATCACACTTCGTGTTCAAGACCATATGCCGCGTCGTAAACCACGCAAAATCCATCCTTTGTAACCTGTACAGCAGAGGGAACAGAGTAAAGTTCTCCATTCTCCCAAGATAAAAACGGAAAGTTAGATCTTCTTCTAGCTTTGTAACACGACTTCCCACTTTCTTGAAACATATTTTGTTCTTTGCAAGTCACGGCCACCATGAATGTATAACGTAGTTCGGGTTAGATTGAACGAAGTGGGCGTAGACGTTCGCATAGGTGTCTTTGCTGAAGGTAGCACACGCCCATGGGATGGTGTGCAGCACTCCCGCAGCATTTTTACGGCCTTAATGCATTGAAGTTAAGACTTGACAAAGTCCTATATCCAAGAATCGAGATCCTTCCAAAATATTCCAGAGAAATTTGAATATCATTCAGGTGATATGTCTTCATCCCGTCACTCTGCTGCAGTTGGATGAACGGAGATGGAGGACGACACACATTCTTATCAAAGTTCAGGAGCCATCTCTCAGATGGGGTTTAAATTCCGTCAAGATTATTTCAAAGGGATTTCCGATCATTCGGCCCCTTTATGACTTGATGAAATTTAACTTTGCTCGCAAGCATAAACTAGTCGCTCTTAAATTACTTGTATATTTTTATTCCTCTCGGATGTTGAGCAATGAGGTACTTTTTCCCGAGGTTGACGGAGGCAAGAGATCCAGCGCATGTACGTTAATCCATTTATTGAACTTTCCGACTGAGTACAGATGTTTTCCAAGAACTCAGGCGCTACCCACTCATAGTCATCAAGGCGGTAAGTTTGTGGATGTCCCCGCTCGAATCTGAATCCCCCGGTTCGCGAATGCAAATTTACATTCTTGTAAAGATCCGCCACGGTATTTTACTCAGACCCTGCGTATATTCGCTACGCAGCAAGCCCTTTGAAGCAACGCGGAACTCTACTACTTGTGGAACATTCTACTTTCTGGACTTCTCTTTAATTCATGATAGCTGTGCCTTGTGTTTGAATCAATGGGGAGTTTCGCGCCCACCACATTGGTTTCAATTCTAGAGATGAACTCGCTCTCTGTGCTTTCGCCTCGTTTGGGATGTTTCCTCTTTCAGAGTGCTCGCTATGCAAGCACGGCCCCACGCATGAAGAAGTTTGCTATCTATCGCTACGTGAGTAGTTCATAAAATTCTTTTTTTTTTCGGAGTTTTGGAGGAGTCTGGCATGCTGAGTCTCATCACTGCATACTACGATAACAGTTCATATAAGGTCTTGGGAAGGATGTCGGGTGTACTAGGCATGTATTAGACTAGCGGTAGGTTTTAGATATCTGCGCCGTGTGCTTGTGTGACTAGTGGAACCTGAGCCGCCCGCATGCGGCACACTTAATGAAGTCACCTAGGTAGCTCTACAGTTGTCCGTACTTCTTTTTCGATCACTCTCCTTGCTTCCCATAAATAACTCTGTTGCGTATTGCTCTTATCATCTTTGAAAAGTGCAGTACACTTCTTGTAGAATCCAGACAAACCCAGCCAGAAGCCCTACATGCAGACTTATGAAATTGATCTGAATGAATGCGGCCCGATGGTCCTGGACGCTCTTATCAAAATCAAGAACGAGATTGATCCCACGCTTACCTTTCGCCGATCCTGCCGCGAGGGTATCTGCGGCTCCTGCGCTATGAACGTCGACGGTGGAAACAGGCTTGCCTGCATTTGGTAAACATACTGTCATTCAAATAATATGCTTCTTGCTTTCGTAAACCCCGCAAGCGCTCTTGGTCGCTTACAAATGCATATCACACCCATTGTTTGGCGTCTCGAGGTTAATTATTCTAGGGTTGTCTTAGTACGCTGCGTCCGTCTCTTAAAAACGGTATAGAACGCATCTGTTATCACTAAATCGTTCTACTGCTCTACTTTCCCTCCAGCGCCATCGACAAGAACACTTCAAAAACGTCTAAAATATATCCATTGCCTCATATGTATGTGGTGAAGGATCTCGTCCCCGATATGTCAAATTTCTACGCTCAGTATCGGTGGATTGAGCCCTACCTTAAGAAGAAGGAGTTCAAGGAGGAAAATGTCGGCGACAAAGCGTTTATGCAATCCGTCAAGGATCGTGATAAGATCGATGGTCTGTACGAGTGCATTCTGTGTGCGTGCTGTTCGACGTCATGCCCGTCTTACTGGTGGAACTCGGACAAATACCTTGGCCCTGCCGTCCTCATGCAGGCATACCGGTCAGTTTCCCCATCCAGTGTACTTTATGCTATGCTTATCTCCTGAATGCCCAAAATAATAATTCGACCTTATGTATGGAGTCCAGTACCTCTAAAACTTGCTTTGGTTTCAGGTGGATGATTGACTCTCGCGACGACTACACTTTCGAACGTCTTACCCAGTTGCAAAACAAGTGGTCCGTTTATCGATGTCACACGATCATGAACTGCACAGAGACGTGTCCTAAGGTAAGTCGTCGGACTGTCAGGCTATAATTGCTCTTGGAATTGTCTTACTTGTTTTGTTTCTAACTACTATTCTCTTGCTCATTTTTCGTTTTAAATTTCAAGGGTCTGAATCCCGGGAAAGCAATTGGCGAAATCAAGAAGATGCTTATTCATTACAACAGTTACAAGAACAAGAAGCCAATGAATCAGATGGTCGCATAATTCGACGCTGGTTATGAACGTACAGTCATAGCATCCGCGCCTCCGTTGTACACTACTTTGTTCATTTGCATGGGTCACGTTCTAATCCAAAGTTCTGTTCTCAACATAGTTTTGTGGCCGAATGTAGTTTTCGCTTCTTAACCTTTATCCTTAATACAACTACTATATCCTTTGACTTTTGTATTGGACATTTCGGCTTGTAGATACCGGCTTTGTTAAGAAAAAATACATCTCTTGCGTCCTCAAGCACGTCAGAAGAAGTAATTCTTGTTTAGAGCGTCGACGAAAAGCCGCCTCTGAGTAGTTGGCTGGCGAACTTCGAGTTAGGTAAAAAGATTGATTATAGAAGGCGATACGAATAAGAAGGCGTTTGCGCATCCGCATGCCACAGGGTTATTTCACTAACACCATGTTCGGGTTTCGGGCGGGGTCGCGTCCGTGGGGTTTTGTGCTTGGATGAGAATAGCATGTGGTCAGATCTCACTCTGCGAGTGATGATAGGACAAACAATCAGGCTGTTCATGACTGAGGAAAATCCGCCCACCCCAGGGACCTAAGGGGCAGTGGGGTGGCAGCTCGGCCGTCGTTTCGATGTCCGCCGTGTGCGCCATAACAGGATGGCGACTCGTGCGTGGTTTAGATTGAAGTGGTAGCCTTCAGTGAAGGTTGGCTGCGAAATAAGCAGACCCAGGTCTGACGAATGGGCAGTCGCAGACCAGCAGCGACAGTGCTACCAGGGTGCGGAGGGCCGAGGTCTGGCACACCAAAGATGACGGCATGGCGACCGTAAGCCGCCATTAAATAATTTTGCTTGTCACAGCTGCCTTGTGGTCAGACTTAAGTCAGAGCTCTAGAGAAGACAACCTCGGGCAAACCGGGCGGCTGTTGGGGGCTCGCCTGTATCCGAAATTCCCATGAAACCGCATGAAGTATGTCCGACTACAGTGTCACGACCCATGCTACGGCGTCCGTGGGAATCGACGCACTGCGCTACCCTGCTCCAGTGGTGCGGACGAACAACATGCCAGCTGGATTACTCAATCAGTGGCGGACTCTTGGTAGTGGATGCTGGAATGTGCGAACGTACCTGAACCCGGGTACCCAAAGTCTGACCACGCGCAGCCTTAATACAATGTGGATGTCTGCTGTCTGTCTGAAGTTCGACTTCCTGACTCAAGCTCTCGAGAAATAAAGATCCCTTGAGTCGAATCACACATCACCCTGTACCGCATCGGCCCGCGCGACTCTTCTGGTAGACGCAGTGTGACAATCGCCCTCTAGCAAAAAGCGGACTTCGCACTACTTGCTTGGGAACCAGTCAATGACCAGATGGCCTGCGTGCGACTGAAGGGTCGCTTGAACATTCCATCGTCCCTGTGTACGCAGCAATTTCGGCTGCCGAACAGCGTGGTAAAGAGGCGTTTTAGTCACAGTTGCAGGCGTTAGTAGAACGGCTCACCGCGTCCTACTGATTGTTGTTGAGGATTGGAGTGGTCGGACTGGACCTGGTGACGCCACAAACAGTCATCTTATTAGCCGCTCTGGGCTTGGTTTCCGATGTGAAAATGGCGAGAGATTGTTGAACTTCGCTGACCAGAACGGACAACTTGTAACCAACACGTGTTTCCAACATCGCAAGAAGCATCTGCTGATCTGGCATTCAAACGAAGGTCATACGGCCAGTCAGATTGACAACATACTAGTCAGCCCAAGGTTCCACAGGTGGGTTCACGATAGCAGATCGATACGTGGTGCGGAGTTTGGTAATGCCCATGGGTCGGACCATGTCCTCGTCCATACACGCTGGAAAGTTCATCTCTCATCCGCACCAAAATGCCACGTCCTAGACGCCTCGATGTCGCAAAAATACGGCAAACCAGCACTGCCGAGGCCCTGAGCAGAGAAACCCGGACCTGTTTTACGACCCGAGCCGACGGAGAAGGCAGTAACCAGTGGTCGTCACTGAAGACGTCAATCTATGGAGCAGCTGAGAAAATTCTTGGGTACACCCAGCGACGACTCAGTGACTGGAGCAACGGAAGAACTCTGCGGTTGTCTGCTCAGACGGCTCGAGCCAGGTCCCGTAACGATAACCGCTCCCGCCAACTTCGGAAGATGACGGAAAAGTCAGCCAGGGATGACGGGATGCAATATTGGGCTGAAATAGCGACCTCCATGGAACAGGTCTTGAACGTTGGTGAAACTCGAAAACTCTACCAACTTATCCTCCAAGTTATCGGCAAGCCCTCTACACTGAGTGACTCTGTTCGCGACGTGAATGACGGCTCTATTGCTGACAACTCAACCAAAGTCGAGCCCTGGCGTGAGCGCTTCCAGCACCATCTCAACTTCGACACGCAGCTCACCACGCCCTTGCTCTCCTCTTCAGCAGAGTTTCTTCCTTCTCCCACCTATGCAGTGCCATGCGATTCCCCCTCTGAAGGAGAGGTCGAAAATGCCATACGAAAGCTACGCAACAATAAGGCACCCGGAGAGGACAGCATACCTGCTGAAATCTTCAAGTCTTGTGTCGACACTCTGGCTCCATGGGGTGATTGAACGAGCGTGAATAGACGGGGTTGTTCCTGATGACTGGGGCCTAGGCATCCTTGTACGTATCCTCAAGAAGGGAGATAATACAACAAGATGCGAGAATTACCGCGACATAAGCCTCGTCGACGTTGCTACGAAGATCTTCGGTATTGTCCTACTCTGGCGATTCCAGGCTGTGCGGGACTTTGGGCCGAGGCCCAACCAAGCCTGATTTCGTGCTGGAAGTGGATGCACTGACCGGGTATTCACTCTGAGACGCATTCTCGAACCTCGCCATAGCTACCAGCAACCGACGGCCGATGGCGCTAGATGGTGTAACGCCAAAAATCATCGCCATGATCAAGGCCTATTATCGCGCCACCACTGCGCGAGTCCTGGTCCACAACAATTTTTCCCAACCGTTCGGTATTTAGTCTGGCGTCCGACAGGGTTGTATCCTGTCGCCCATTCTGCCCAACTACGCTATTCACTGGATTATCGAGAGGGCCCTACGCGAAGATGGCGTTGTTAAATTTGCGCCCGGACACGGACTTACTGATCTCGACTATGCCGATGATATCGCCTTACTTGCTTCAAGTTTTGGTGATCTGCAGTCTATGGTGTCACGGGTGAACGAGGTCGCTAAATCAGTCGGTTTATCCATAAACGCTGGGAGGACTAAAGGGTTTTCAAGCTGCATCCCTGGCCAAGCGAAGGCACCTCTCGGGATTGATGTTTGCTAAACTGAAGTAGGCAGTTTTAAATACCTTGGGTCGAGATTGCTGCCGAATGGGCAGAGTAAGCATGACATTGTCTCCTGAATCGATGCTGCCGGACGGGTTTTCTCAAACCTTAGAAAGTGCTTATATATCCGACGCGACCTCTCCGTCACCACTAAGATTCGCGTGTATCGTGCGTCTGTCCGGTCTGTCTTTTTTATGGTTGTAAATGCTGGACTGTGCTTGTGGAGGATGAGCGAAAACTGGAGATATTTGACCACCACTGCTTGAGGCTCATTCTTCGAGTGAAGTTGACGGGCTTCTCAAGTAAGACAGTCCGCTCTCACTGCGACAACATCGCAAGGATAACCCAGGCCATGCAAGAAAGGCATCTGAGTTTGTTTGGGCGTGTTCTTCGTCGTCCACCTCCGGAGCTCAGTGTTACTGACCTTGATCCGACACCGTTACCCCATTGGAGGTGCCGAAGAGGGGGTAACTTCAAAACCTGGATCGACACAGTTCGTCAAGGCATGGAGGTGGTTCTTGGACCTTCGGTATTCGGTCTCCGTCGTTGGCGGGGAGAATGGGTTAAATCATCCAGATCTGCTGCCGCGGATCGTTACGCGTGGAGAGGTACAGTTCGGAACATCATCGAGGCCGGCTATATTAGGCATGATCGCAGTCGTACCAAGTACAAGTAAGTACCGGCGCGTACAACCAGCCCCTGGTCTTCTTGACCAGAAAGGGGGGGGGCGCCTCGGATCCCAATTTAGTGGAGTTGCCATGGAGGCCACATCAAGGAGGAGCCTTTGCGGCCTGACTCAGTCAAGTCCGACCACTCAACACGAACACGCATTGGGCTGAGCGCGAGGTCCGAGTTATCCCGTTAGTCGGCAGCCTCCAAGACTTTTAGCGCTGAGACCACCTGCCGCACCATCCTCCCCCTCCAAGGCACCCATCGGAGTCGATCGGTTGTCTGATGTGGGAGGGCTTGGCAGCTCGTCTACGCGGGCCACATGCAAGACCTGATTTTCAAACGGAGACTGGGGAAGCGACTCGAGCCTCATCTGTGTGAGTGAAGGAGCCATCACTGCACAAACACACTAGGCTGACTTCGCGGCCTGAGTTAGATCGTCAGTTGGCAACCTTCCAGGCCATGGTTTTCAGCACTGAAGGTCGACCTCACCCACTCTAACCCACCCCATGCGCCAGTTGCTTCTTCAAGCCAGTCGACCAACTGAAGCTGAGATTGGGGGGGTGGCTTACGGAGTCAAGAATGTCTTTTCTGCTCACGCCCCACACACCACCCAGACCTTCAAACGCACACACCAGGATTAGGCACACAAGAGGCTCCAGACACTGGTTCGACAGTGTCTGTGCGGTGGATTCGCAGATGGCCGGCCGAACTGTGGCGTAAGATGAATATTATGCTAATGTCGACTGAATAGGTGGGGAGATGCTTACTCGGTGACGATCGTGGTATTATCACTGGTGGTTGCGCTTATGGATGGGTGGTCGAAAGGCCTGGAAATTGAAGAGTTGGGGGGTGTGCGAGGTGTGACGATATTTGGGTGAGTTCCGCCGTTGTAGATGCGCATGTGATCGAGTAGATCCATTGATTGAGTGAATTTGCTGAGACAATGCGTGAAATGGAGGCTGATGCGACGGGTGTAGGTGGGGGCTTCTACCACAGGTACCCTAGCCGCAGCTAGCGACCAACCAGGCAGATGCGCGAGGTAAATGTGCTGTCGCAATGAGGACAGGTTGCGACCGAGACCACATCGCTGACGGTGAGGTTGGTAATGGGGGGGGGAGGGATTGACTCGGCGCTGATATAGTTCTCACCCAATGATGGGAGTGGGAGAGGAGTTATTCGCTGTCGCCGCGAAGGTTTTTTGGCTGGAATGATGATGATGATGATGATGACGACGACGATTATTATTATTATTATTATTATTATTATTATTATGGTTGACGGCGGTGGCGGGAAACCTGGATTTTGGTCATCATTGATGGGATGGGGGAGTGGTCGTCATCATCGACGCCATAGTCGCCCCCCGATGGGTGGTCTCGGACCGTGGTTGCTGTGCTGACCGCCCCTCCCCCTCGAAGAAGGGGATAAGACTCAACACCTGCCCCGTACTCCCTTCTCTGCCCCCAACGACGATAAAGCTGTGGGTTGCAAAGATGGACGGGTAGGGGGGAAGCTTATGAAAGCAGAGTATCGACTGCCGGAGCCGGAAGAACTGTTTGCCCCTCTTGTCTGCCTCCTCTGTCGAGCAGAAGGAAAACGATTTTAAGCATGGTCGTGGGGCGCTCACCGATCGTTCTTACGGCATTTACTCTTCCCGTTGTGCCTCAGGACTTACTCTCTCTCGAGCTCAACCAGCAGCCACACAGCGGCGCATGATATAGGCAGAATGTTATTAACTACAAAGACGAGGGAGACTGGAATGGCCATTTCTGACCTATTAGTCGTCGTCAGCCAGTCGTACCGAAGTGTTGTGGCGACGGAGGCGACGGTGATAACAATGATGATAATGGTGACAGTGATTGACGGCGGTGGCGGGAAATCAGGATTTTGGTCATCACTGATGGTATGGGGGAGGGTGGTCGTCATGATCGACTCCGTAGGGGTTCGTGCAGGGGTGATGTTGGGGATGGTCGGAGGAGGTACCAGTTGAGGTTGAGGGATGGTTGTGGCATTAAATCCGGAGATATTTTACGAGGCCGAATCGTGCCCAGAATGTTCGATTGAAGCGAGGGCATGTTGGGATGGGTTAGGTGGTTACGCTGCGGGTCGGGTCAGTTGAGATTTGGAAGTTTTTTTGGCTTTAGCATCGGCGATTTGGTTGGCCTCGTAGATTACTGCTCCAGTCTTCACTACTCATATCCAGACCAGTCGCCCCCCCCGGGAGATCATCTGGGGTCTTCGGATTGATTTGCAAACACTTCTAGGAAATATGCAGGTTTCCCTTGAAGTAGCGAATTTGACCTACTTGTCGGCGAGCATCTGCGTTTGGGTAGTCGCTCGTCGTTTATCCGCATTAGGTAGCCGTTCCATCGCAGTCGCACTTACCTCCTCGTGGCGCGGATGCTGTGCATTCTGGTCCGGTCTTAAATTTCCGCGCTCATGAGCCTGTCCTGCCAGAAACGATTGGGTCGCCGCGCTTGTTTCATGTAGTCTGTCCAGGTCTCCGCTCTATATAATAGTGCCCTCAATGTGACAGCTTTATCCATCTCGAATTTGGTGTTCCAGTGGAGACCGTGGCGATTCCACACGAAGTTCTGCAGCCAACCAAAGACCTGGGTGGCTTTAGTATGGCTCTTCGTCGTCGAATTTGATGCTGCGAGAGAGTGTGCTGCCTAAGTGAGCCGATTTTCGGTCTGGTATCGTTGGCCTCGATACGGGAACGTCGTATGAGGTGTCGGATGGGGGTTTGATACATGACCGCCGTTTTGACCGTGTTGGTTGACGACTCGAAGTTGGCGCATCCGGAGGCAAAAAGTTCATTTCTCCGTTGCTTGTCTGAGAGCATAGTCGCCTGTGATGAGCAGATCGTGAACAGTAGTCGTGCATAGACGCATCGTGGCCTGCATTCGCTGGCTATCGAGAGATCGGCCATGAATCCAGTAGGCGATACAAATCCCAGAGCTTTCATCACGGTAGGTGAACAGAGAACATGAAACTGAAGAGGGTGGAAGCGCATACACAGTCTTGCTCCACCGCACGGTCCCGTTGCCTGTGACACGCACCATCAAGCCACCGTGGAGCTGATGCATCATGTGCGTGAATTGCTCTGGACATTTGAATTTCTGGGTGATTTTCCACAGTTCATCGTCATTCGCCGTGTTGAAGAACTTCGTAGGGTCCACGAAGGTAGTCTAGAGGTGGGTCCGAATCTCCTCACAATTGTAGTTGGCGGGCTGTGAAGATCATGCCCGTGGTCAGGCGGTTTCGTTGGAAGCCACAATGGCCCTCCAGCAAAAGTCCCTGTTTAAGATGGCCGTTGAGACGGTTAAGGAGGATTCAGGCGAAGATCATCTCCGTGATGTTGAGCAGCGAGAAACCTTTGTGATTATCGCAGAGTTGTCGGCGTCCTTTCCGCTTGTAGTGAAATACGATGGCCGCATCCCTGAAATCCTGAGGAACCTGTCCCTGATGCAACGTTTACGTTTGTCCATCAGTCGGAGGCCGCCGTTCTTGTAAGCTTCAGCCTGGATCGCGGAGGAACCCAGTGCTTCCTCGCTGTACATTTGTTACACGACTCGGAGGGTTTCCGAAAAGGAAGGCAAAAGATCCGGGTCGGCTTTCGTTTACACTTGTGGGACACGGTCGATTACAACGTCAGAAGTCACGGATTGACCATTGAGAACGCTTTTGAGGCGTTTGGCCCGGCGCTTCAGAATTTGTGGTCTGCCCGTTAGGAGTATTGTTCCATCGGAGCTAGGAATCATGACTGTCCCCTTTGACTGCGGAGCCGTAGACAACGAGGGAGTTACTTTGTTTCACACCGGTCCCCGGCCCCGCGAGCCATCTAGGTGAACTCATTCTTGCAGCTTGAGGAGCGGAAAATAGGCGAACATGGGTTGTTGTTTGTCTGGTTGCCTCGACTGTGAGTTTTTCATTAGCAAGCCACAGTCCGAAGATAGATGACGTGTGTTCGGCATTTTTACGACACTTTTTCTAGTCCTTTCACCTCAAGAAGTAGTCGACACTATCCCTAAATGACAGTTCGACCATCGGTTTCGATGATGTCCACCGTGTGCCCCACAGTTGCAGCAGCAGTGGGAGCAGGGACGGTGACTTACGCAGGGGTTTATAGTACCAGTAGACTTGCGTGGCATCTACCTACACTCTCTCCTCCTCCCTCGCCCGAGCCCGGTGTCAAGACGGAGTCCAGAAGACCGCAGACGAGGGAGGCCGCAGGTGGATGGCTCGGACAGATCCTCACCTTGGCGTTCCACCACACCCCCTGGTCCACACAACAATAACCAGGATTTCAACCAACAACAGAGATTTGGAGGCTGGCACGACCGAAGCCACACTTAGGCGTACCGCCAACGCCTGGCTCGGATCCCACACCGTGATGGGAGTGCCATAAAGGCCACATTAAAAAGGAGCCATTGCAGCCTGACTCTCAGACCGCCTCCAGTCAAGGAGGAGGTCCAAGTTACCCCGTCAGTTGGCAACCTTCCAAGCCACGGCTTTTAGCGCACCGTAATAGCTTCAAGCGCGTCAGATTGTTTATAGTGAGGAGAAAGTGCGCTGAGTCGTCGACCTCACTCTCCCTTCCAACTCCCTTCCCACTCCCACACCCCAGCCGCTGTCCGAGCCGCTCAGCAGACTGGAGTGGGGAATGGGCGCGGTGGCTGTCATGGTCGACTGACCATGACTGCGCGCGCCACGGCACGACCTGGCCCCCCATACACACAACACCAGGATTTCACACAACGGGGGTTGAACGGCGTGTCTCTCACTTGCGTGAGAGTGCCGTGGAAGGTGCTGCTTCAGCCCGTTCCCAGCCCACCAGTCCGCCACTCCACTCAACACACACACACACACACACACAACGCGACGAACTGCGTGAACCGAGAGCGGGCGTCAATCAGCAACCTTCCTATCCACGACGCTTGACGTGTCGGGATAGTCTCGGACTCAAGTCACCCGTGCAGCCGAAGCCGCATGGGGACCGAGTCGAGATGCGGACTTCCCACTTGCGTGGGAGGTGGCAGTTGGGTGCGTGTTGATGTGTGGTGGTGATGGTGGAGGAAGCTAGGGAGTGTGTGGATGTGTGGTGTAACCGGCGGTTGTCTACCGCAGGTCATCGTGGATACGCATGTGTCCGAATAGGCCCATGCGATGCCTGAAAGTACGAGGGCAGTGTGGGCAGTTGAGACGAGCTTGGTGGGTGTAGGTTGGTGCTCCAGGCACTGGTTCGCCAGTCTCTGTGCGATGGATTCGCAAGTGACCGACCAGGTCGATGCGTGAGGTGAACGTGTGTGGGCAGTGTGGGCATGAGAGGTCGACCTTGTCGATGTCAGCTGTAGAGGAAGTGGTGGTGGTGATGGGCGTGTGTGGCGATGGAGCGAGGGTGGTGCTGGGCTTGGTGGGTGTGTTGGATGTGGTGGGTGTGTCCGAATTGTGGTCAATTCCGCTCTCGTGAATGCGCCTGTGGCCGAGTAGACCCATGCGATGAGTGAAGGTGCGAGGGCAGTGGAGGCGAGTGCGGTGTATGTAGGTTGGTGCTCCAGGCACTGGCTCGCCAATCTCTGTGCGATGGATTCGCAAGTGGCCGACCAGGCCGATGTGTGAGGTGAAGGTGCGGTCGCAGTGAGGGCAGGTGTTGTCCTGATTCCCATCGCTGGAGTCGGGAGAGGTAGGGGTGGTGTCTGCTGTGTCGCGGTTGGTGATGTGCGAGACGGCCGCCTGAGCGGCCGCCGTTGGGGCAGTGGTGGTGGTGGTGGAGGAGGAGGAGGAGGAGGAGGAGGAGGAGGAGGATGGAAGTGGTGGGTCAGAAGAATTGTCAGAGTTAGTTGGCGGCGGAGGGGAGGAAGAGGCGGGCGGGGGGACAATGGTTGGTGCAGTTCGAGAGGCGCAGTTGATCCGAAGGTGTCCAACAAGTCCGATTCGAGCCCGGAATGTCCGTTGACATCGAGGACACGTTGGAAGCGGTTGTGCGGCGGCGTTGCGTACTGGGCGAAGTTGTGATTTGCAGGCTTCGTGTTTCGCTTTGGCGGCAGCGATGCGGTTGGCTTCGTAGATCGCAGCGCCTGTCTTCACTGTCCTCCTCCAGGTCGGTCGATCGAGTGCGAGCTCCCCCTCCCCCCCCAGTTGGTGGGGTTGATTTGCAGGTATTTCAGGGAGGACTTCAGGGTATCCTTGTAACGGCGAATTTGGCCTCCTTGACGGCGAGAACCCGTCACGACGTCTCCGTAGAAGAGTCGTTTGGGTAGTCGCTCGTCGTCCATGCGCACCAGGTGACCGCCCCAGCGCAGCTGCATGTACCTCGGTATGGCGTAGATGCTGGGGATTCCCGTCCGTTCCAGCACATCAGTGTCGGGGATTCGATCCTGCCAGTTCAGCCTCAGGATGCGACGAAGACAACTGAGGTGGAAGTGGTTCAGACGGTGTGCCTGCTTTGCGTACACCGTCCAAGTCTCCGCTCCATACAGTAGTGTCGGCAGGATGACAGCCTTGTACATCTTCAGCTTCGTGCTCAGCTGAAGACCGTGGCGATTCCAAACTGTGCTTTGGAGGCGACCGAAGGCTTGACAGGCTTTCGTGATCCTGTTGGCGACTTCGTCGTCGATCTTGGTGTTGCGGAAGAGAGTACTGCCCAGGTACGGGAAGTTCTCCATCACTTGCAGTTGGGTTCCGTTCACGCTGATTTGCGGCGGCGCGTTGGGGGCTGTGACTGAGTGGGGTGGCGGTTGGCGCATCACCACCGTCTTCTGCGTGTTAATGACCAGACCGAAGTTCTCGCAGGCGGCGGAGAATAGGTCCATGCTCCGTTGCATCTCCTCTTCCGAGGTGGTGTTCAGGGCGCAGTCGTCGGCGAAGAGGAGTTCGTGCACGGTGGTTGTGGATACGCGCGACTGGAAGTGCATCCGCCGTTGATTCAGGAGGTGACCGTCCGTCCTGTAGGCGATGCGGATCCCGGGGCGTTCGTCGCGGTAGGCGTCCATCAGCATGGCAGAGAACATAAGACTGAAGAGGGTAGGCGCCAGTACGCAGTCCTGCTTCACTCCATTGGTCACTGCGAATGCCTCTGAGACAGCTCCGTTGTCCGTGACTCGCGCCATCATACTGTCGTGCAGCTGACGCACCATCTGAGTGAATCGCTCCGGACAGCCGAATTTCTGCATGATCTTCCACAGTCCTTCACGATTCACCGTGTCGAAGGCTTTCGTCAGGTCTGCGAAGGTAGAGTACAGGTGGATCCGCATCTCCTGGCACTTCTCTTGAAGTTGGCGGGCGGCGAAGATAATATCCGTGGTCCCACGATGACGACGGAGACCGCATTGGCTTTCAGGCAGAAGGCCCTGTTCCAGATGGTTATTGAGACGGCTGAGGAGGATTCGTGCGAAGATCTTCCCGGCGATGTTCAGCAAGAAGATGCCGCGGTGATTGTCGCAGACTTGGCGATTCCCTTTGCGCTTGTAGAGATGCACGATGGTTACGTCCTTGAAGTCTTGCGGGACTTCGCCTTGACGCCACATCTCCTGGAAGAGCGCAGTCAGGTGATCCATCAGTTGGGGACCTCCATGCTTGTAGACCTCAGCAGGGATTGCGTCCGATCCGAGTGCTTTCCCGCTGGAGAGCTGCTGCACGGCCCTGATGGCCTCCTGGAGAGATGGCGGGAGGTCGAGGTTCACGTTGGTCTCCACTTGCGGCAAACGCTCGATGGCGGCGCCGGAGATGACGGAGGGGCGGTTGAGGACGCCTCGGAAATGCTCGGCTCAGCGCTGTAGAATTTGCGTCTCCTCAGTCAGGAGAGTGCTACCGTCGGCGCTGAGGAGAGGAGCAGTGCCCTTCGTCGGCGGACCGTAGACAGCTTTGATCGCAGAGATGAAGTTCTTCCATTCGTTGCGGTCCGCGTAGCCTTTGATCTCCTCAGCTTTGCGAGCAGTCCAGGCGTCCCGCATCTCGCGCAGTCGTTGCTGAAGTTGGCGGCGACTGCGGTAGAAGGCGGCTTTGGTGGCATCAGTGGGATGATCTACGTAGGCTTTGTGTAGGCGGTTCTTCTCAGCAAGCAGATTTCTGATAGCGGCGTCGTTGTCGTCGAACCAGTCCTGGTGTTGGCGGGGAGCGCGACCGAGGACGGTGAGTGCCGTCGACTGGACCGTGTCTCGCAGTTGACACCAGCGGATCTCCACGGAGGCGTTCTCGGCAGCGGCGGCGTCGGCAGCGATAGGAAGGTTGTTTAGCCTTTGAGCTAGCTCATTGCTGAAATGAAGATGGTGAGCGGGCAACGACAACAAAGCGACATTCAGCTTACCTGGGGGTCGCTTACCTTGTGGTCTCCTGCGAGGCTGTAGGCGAATACGCATCTTCGAGATGACGAGGCGATGGTCGGTCCACCCGTCAGCACCCGCGATCGCCTTCGTCACCAGCACGTCCCGCTGATCTCGCCTCCGGACGAGGACATAGTCCAGCAGGTGCCACTGACGCGACCGAGGATGCCTCCAGGTGGCCTTCTCTCGCACCGGCAGACAGAAGAACGTGTTCGTCAGGATGAGGCGGTGTTCTGCGCAGGTGCGGAGCAGCAGCAGACCATTGTCGTTTGAGCCGCGGAGACCGTGGGGACCCAGCACTCCTCTCCAGGCAGTATGGTCTGTGCCGACGCGGGCGTTGAAGTCGCCAAGGACAATCAACTTGTCCGCCTTCGGCACAGTCGCCAAGAGGGCGTGCAGGTCCTCGTAGAATTTGTCTCTGACGGCATCGGGGCTGCTCATCGTCGGAACGTAGGCGCTGATGATGGTGGCGAATTTGCCCCCACCCCGGAGAGGCAGACGGAGGCTCATCAGGCGGTCGTTGATGCCCTGCGGCAGACTGGGCAGTCGTCCCACGATGTCGTTCCGAATGGCGAAGGCGACGCCCGCGTCTCGTCGCTCTGGCCTGGGCCGACCACTCCAGAAGAAGGTGTAGCCGGCACCCACCTCCTCCAGTTGGCCTTGTTCGGAGAATCGCGTCTCGCTGAGTGCGGCGATGTCCACCTTGTAGCGGGCGAGTTCTCGTGCCACTAGCGCCGTCCTCCGTTCCGGTCGGTTGCTCCTCGGATTGTCTAAAAGGGAACGAAAATTCCAGGCTGCCAGAATGAGCGGGCTCACACTGCCAGTCTGGGGACAACGAGTGGGGCGACGGGAAGGAGGTGGAGAAGAAGATGACGCAGGAGAAGAATAGGCAGAAGAATAGGCAGAGGAAGAGGTAGAAGAGGTAGGATGAGGAGAATGAGTATGGTTGTTGTTCTTATTGGTATTGCTGTTGTTTCGATTTTGAGTGTTTCGACCATGATTAGACGTCTGCGGCCCTAGCTAGCCTGAAGACGGCGTGGTACCCAGCATTTTTGGCCACCTTTTCTAGGCCCTTCCCCTCGTGGGGGCAGGCAATGCCGTCCCTGAATCGGGCTGCCCATGTGCCTGGTTGGCGCGACCGAATCCCACTATGGGGCCACGACTTTTATGTTCGTAGTGGAGAACGACCGCATGTGCCGTGAGTCCGCGGTCTCCGTCGGCGAGGATGGGCGCGTCTCAGCGAAGGCAATGCGGAGGTCCGTCCCGGCAGCAGTTGTCCAACGGCGTACCAGGCAGAGCCTCGTCTCGACATGCCGGCGCAGTTTTTCATCCGACCATCCGTCCAGCGGAGTCTGCAGTACACTGCGCACGCGGCACAAGCGCACAGCGCCCTCACCTGGTTTGGCTCGCCGGTCGAGACGGTTGCCGGGGGTGTGGCCGCTGAGCAGAGCCCAGCTTCGTGGAGTCACAGGTGAGAGTTGGGTGCAAGCAAATGGACGCTAGGCGTAGTCTCACTGCAAGCAAGTGAGCGACCACTACGACCATCGCGTGAACCCACCGCTGGACACCCCTACACCCCACTATCCCTAAATAGAGCTGTTAAGGCATCCCGGATGGCTACCGAAATCCACTGTGTGTCACGCCTTTGCTTTGTGAAGAACGACCGGGGTTAGCCTGGATCGCGTACGAGATTGTATGTTGCCCTCTACGCAGGACTTTTGAGGGTGGAGGGAGGGGAAGGGAGCAGAACTGCCGGGTGTGGGGACACCGGACAACCTCATCTGTTTTAACCCGCCGGTAGAGATGAGAGTTGAGGTAAAATTGTAAGAGACAGGGAGCATTTGTGGTCGGACATGTGCATGCACACGCAAGAATTGTCAGTAGGGTGTCTGGCCCACTCTTAGTCCAGAATCCGATACAACCGAGGGTACTGCGTACGTCTGATTGGTTGGGTGGTCGATTTCTCCTCATAACCTGTTGTCTAAAGTCTGCAGGGTCTGCGTGTTCTGGCTCGCGATACCACCCTCTCTCGTGATCGTCCACCCACCTGGCCGCCTAAACTGTGACAACAGTCGGACCTCAAGTTCATTTATATACCCACTTCACTGCTCCCAGCACCCATAAACTGCAGCGCGGTGCACCGCTGAGAATGAAATTTTAGTCTACCGCTGTGTGGCCAACCTGGCTAACGCCTGATTTAGGTTTTGTGCGTGTTTCGGCCGGCAGCAGAGCTGGTGCAGCCGGTGTGAATGCACATCGAAACTATTGGGGACACTGTACGGACGAATTTCTCAACCGTCTCCGCTTCTTCGACTCGAAATTATGTATCTCCAGCCAGTACTTATATATTCTAAACAAAGGAGGTCCGCCCTGGACGTTTCTTATTCGACCTCGCTGCCGCGGAAGAGATTCAACAATAGATTGGAAATATTCTGTTTTTACTCTGATGTTTGAGCATCCTCGAACTGGAAGGCAACTGAGGAGTCTGTCCTGTTGGTGCGGGGGAGTTGTTTCTGGCAGTGGAACTGTTATTGCAGCATGCATGTATTACTGAGACAGACAGACAGCCTGACGGGCTGGCCAGATGGGGGCATTGCTTTCGGTCCGTGCAGACCGCCCTACTTCGCGGCACTGCTATGTACACTTCGGATCACTTCGAAGGTAAGCTGTCCCCTATCACTACTGGTCCGGCATGACGGTCGGCTGGGGGCCTGCCCCTTGCAGGTGCGGCTACGAAATAAGATCCGACCGAATTACTTAAGGAAGGTTGTGATTTCAAGTGTCATGGATCATGATCCCAAACCATTTCGGTCAATTCAAAATGCTGGTTTCCGTATAGCTTCTTTTCAGCTCCTCGTAAGTTCGCACTTGCTGAAATAGCCACCTAAGTAGTATGGATTTTTCTTATCGATTTCCGGTGCCCTTATAAGTTTAAAATATATTTTATAGATATCACGCGCAAGCATGACGCTTACTGTATCCGTTTTATGGCAAATTAAGTCTTCAGCCTTTCTACGCATAAAACGGTATCCTTTGATTTAAAAATTTTTTGCATTTACGGGATCTTTAAAAGTCATGAAATGTCTGTTCGAATGGCTACTTGAAGAGAATAAAGCGTGGTACACTGCTCGACAATAGCAGCTATATATGACACCTTGTTAATAACCTGGGGAATATGCACTTTTTCTTAAATACACACTGTTCGATTTGTTGTTTGGAAGCCCTCAACGTGGTTGAAACGCCAGGTGGGTTTCAAATGTAATCGGACATGTGTCTGTAAAACTTTCTTTTACTAAGCCAGTAACGACAACTGTAGTTTTTTCCTACCTTCGTCGGTAGCGTTTGCCGAGTATTGAGGGCTATGTATACCCAATATGCAAGGCTGCTATTCATTCCAGATTGGTAAGGATGACTTATAAGTGAGTCTACATGTTCCAGAGCGTGGGTGCTAAGTCCAATGACCAGTTGGGCCTGAGTTGCATTGAAGACGGTTAATAAACCCCAGATTATCACTAAGGTATTCCCCATTTTGGTCTGGACAATTACTTTACTTATGGGCGGCAGTTCAAACGAACGAGTATTCGTTTCGCAGTAGTCCTTTGCTCCAGATCTAACGACACTCCTTTAGGCCTATGCGGGTTTGTAATCTGTGAGTTAGCCTAGTTCCCCAGGTAACGCAGTCCCGAGCGACAACTGATTGATGTCCCTTATGAAAAGAAACTAATTCGATTTTCATGAAAGTTCCGCGGCCAATTTGGAGGATCGAAGTTCTCCGTGTTTCGAGGCGGTCTGGGTATCCACCAGGAGAAAATTGAAGGCCAGATAAGTGTTGTGAGCCGAGCATAGCTCAACCTCCCGCCGGACAAACCTGAGGTCTGAACTCGGACATAGCTGGTCACTGGAAGAACGCCCCACCACTGGGCCTCGGGGTTCACCACCTGTCGTCTGAGACCGGAACTATTAAAAAGCGTACAGAATTGGTGTACGTGCTTTCAAGTCGACCTTACAATTCACAAGGGGAAGATGCGTTCGCTTGAACAAGAAGTTTATTAGCTTGACGTTTCGGATTCCCACTTGAATTCATCATCAGAGACAGTCCTTACTGAGCTCACAGTCGCCGTTTAGTAGTTAAATTTTGAATTTCCATGCCATTGATCCAGGCCGGGAGGAGGGTTAGACATCTGGCAAAATTTGATAGAGACTGCCTGAACTCACTTGTTAAAAAAAACAGGAGATGCCGTTGAAAGGGGAAGACGGAAGCCTAATTTGGCACGCCCAGAAGCCATTTTGTGCAGCAGCCGTGATCTACCCGTCGGTACACGGTCCACCGTTTTGAATATGCTGCCAAATTCCCTCGAACAATTCTCACACTGACAATTACACTTAAGGAGGCAGCCGATTGGACATACAGTGCGTGAAATGTTGGCTGAAATTCTGAAATGTGTTTTCGATTAGGAAGGATTACTTGGTCACAGTTGTGATTCTGATTATCTTAAGGCATACTCTTATAACATTTTAGACTCGGCAGGACGTTAGCTTTAAAAGGCACTTCTTTTCGATCTCCTGTAGAAAGCGTGCTCGGGAAAAAATGACTACTTATGTAGCATGCATTTTTCCCATTGATTTTCTGTGGTCTTGGAAATTAAATATATTTTGTAGAAACCACAAATAAAAATATGCTTTCTTTTAGTCAATCAATAGAGAATCACGTCTTCTTTATATTTTATACTTATGGAAGGAGTATAATTAGGTTTTAAAAAAGTTTTCTAATTGCCGAAAATTTTGGAGCCTGATCATTCGTTGCATTAGCGCTTAGTGATTACACTCTACAAGGCGCATGCGTTCCGCGTAAAGAAAATCCCATATTTTTCTATGCCATTAAAGAGATATCATACAGAGTCTATAAAATTTTGCAATGGATGCGGACCATATTGTTCATTTCATGAGGAGCAGTGGTAAGCGGCCAGGTACGATGCTATGTGAATTGACATTGCGCGGTCTGAAAAAGTCTTATAATTAGAAACTTTTTTCAGAATTAATTATACTCCTTCCTTAAGTACAGAATATAAAGAAGACGTGATTCTCTATTGATTGACTAAAAGAAAGCATACTTTTATTTATGGTTTCTATAAGATATATCTGAATTTGCAAGACCATCGAAAATCAATGGAAAAAATGCATGCTACATAAGTAGTCATCAGTATCACAACCGCGACCAAGTAATCCTTCCTAATCGAAAACACATTTCAGAATTTCAGCCACCATTTCATGAGCTAAGTCACGCACTGCACTTAAAGTTTAATGAGTGGTGGCGATGTGCCTAAAAATGAGGGGTAAGTTGGTCGATGGTGCCGGACAGGGCGCTGCTCTTGCGGTGAAGGCATATCGGCGGTTCTATCAGGCATACTGCAAGCTAAGGCATAAAGTGTGTTGGTGAAACGTTTGCAAACGTTTGAAAGTCCTCGCATTCATTCGACTGACAGAGAGGAGCTCACCGACCACGCTACGGGACCCTCGTCCCGTTGCGTCTGGGGGCTCACTGTCCTGTCCCGCCGGAAGCCGCACAGCGCCCAGTATTCTTGACAGAATGACAATGCTGACTGGAGTGACCGTTTCCCGGCTGTTGGTCGTCATCAGCCCGCCATAGGTTTGTAACTCAATGGACTTGAAGGCGAGAGGGTCGTACTTTTAGCAAACTGAATGCGGACTCGAGATTCAGGTACCACAACAAAACTGGGGTCGGTTATGGCTGGCTGACGATGGCAAATAAGCCAGAAGTGGTCATTCCAGTTTCCCTTATCTCTGCCAGTAATGAAACTCGTATACTGGCAGTTGCGCTAAAAAGGCCATCATAACGACAACTGGCAAGTAGGTCTAAACAGGATCGTATGTGGACATCGGGTCCAGGTGTCTTATGAGGGATTGCTGCTGGTTTATTTGCACAGCTACGCAAAATCGAGCCTGCGAAGTGTTAAATGGACATTTTCCCTGCAGTGAGGGTACTTATTATGATTTTTTCTCAGGATTTTGTTCGACAATCCGAAACGTTATATCGGGCGCTTTACGTGGAAAACTGACATTTGATTTGGCGAAGGCAGTCTCAGGCTGGAATTTATCCTTCATTCGGAGGCTATCCGACACTTTACGGTGACAGGAAAGTGTCCTTAACTGGCACCAGTGTTCTGTCCCAAAGACCCCCCAGTCTGGGTGCGAAAAGTCAACAGTCATTTGTCGGATGCGGTGTAGCCATGGTTAAAAAAACTATTACACGGGGACGAAGAAATGATCTCACCGGTGTGAGCTGGAAGACGTATCAGCAGTGAGGTGGAACAATGCGAATTCCCTAGTCGTGTTTCATTCGACAGGACCAGGCCACAACTTCAAAGTAGACGAGGTTGAGATCCCCTCGGATATAGAAAACCGTGTATCGCTTTCGCCGTCAGGAAAGGCGTCATGTGAGGACTGCCGTGTCTGGCACGTATCATGAATTAACATATGCCTCTTTGTGGGAACAATTTAATCACCAAAGTCGGTGTATACCCTCCCCAGATCCATTTCATAACCAAATTCGATGACGTGAAGAACAAGTATAGAAGAATCTGTGCACATTCCCCTAATGCGTCTACCGAAAGCAGAAAAGCTGGTTGCCCTTGGCAACCTCAGTGCCCTCATCGGCGGAGGTCGTGCTGTCTGGGAGGGAGCGCTTTATCGCCTACGCTTAAAATACCGAAAATCGCCTCCTGTGTTTGCAAATATTTCTCATAAATGCACCCGAGTTCTGCCCACTTTATATTCACACCTCGACAAGACCAGAATTTACATATGCGCATTTGAGGTTGTCAAAGGAACTGAGGTTGTTAAGGGTTTGATGTTGTCGAAGGGTCCGAGGTTGTTGGAGGATCCGAGGTTGTTGAAGGATCCGAGGTTGTTGAAGGATCTGAGGTTGTTAAAGGATCCGAGGTTGTTAAAGAGTCTGATGTTGTCGGAGGATCTGAGGTTGTTGATGGATCCGAGGTCGTTGCAGGATCCGAGGTTGTTGAAGGTTCTGAGGTTGTTGAAGGATCCGAGGTTGTAAAAGAGTCTGATGTTGTCGGAGGACCTGAGGTTGTTGAAGGTTCTGAGGTTGTTGAAGGATCCGAGGTTGTTGAAGGATCCGAGGTTATTGAAGGATCCGAGGTTGTTGAAGGTTCTGAGGTTGTTGAAGGATCCGAGGTTGTTAAAGAGTCTGATGTTGTCGGAGGATCTGAGGTTGTTGATGGATCCGATGTCGTTGCAGGATCCGAGGTTGTTGAAGGTTCTGAGGTTGTTGAAGGATCTGAGGTTGTTGAAGGTTCTGAGGTTGTTGAAGGATCTGAGGTTGTTGAAGGCTCTGAGGTTGTTGAAGGATCCGAGGTTGTTGATGGATCCGACGTCGTCGAAGGATCCGTGGTCGTCGCAGGATCCGAGGTTGCCAAAGTTGTCGGGGAGGCCGAAGATATTGAGGATGTAGAAGTTGTTGTAGGTGCCAAATCTTCAGAATTTGACGGAGGTTCTAAGTCTGGCTGAGCTGTCAGTCTTAACGGAGGTGCCGAAGTATTAGAGGCTGACGGTCTTCCTCCGCCTCCTCCATTGTGAGGGGCCTGTTGAATGCATGTACAGATGCAGGGTTCACATGCTTCCCAAATGGCATCGTGAATGGAGCAAAATCCTTCATCCATATGAGCCACTACTCCCAAAGCTGTTGCAAGCAGCAATGTGCCCAACAGTACAACAGTTCGAATCATCTCGTAATTACTGATGCTCTCTACCTGCCCTACCAACCGTTTTTATACAGTAAACAGTAAACATATGCGCATTAGGAAGACTCATAAATCTATTTGCAAACGATACAGTGGACCAACGTGGGCTGGTACATGCAAGTTAGCCTCCTTGAAATAGAGAGTGTTGTATCGTAGGTTAGGTCAGTTGTGGGAGGTTGTGGAGTTACTCAGGTAGCTGACTCAAACACGTATGTATGCAGGAAATGTTGCCTTCTACGCACTGGAAGTTTTGGTCGATTTTCCGCGTTGACCTCAGCAAGCGATCCAGGCGAGACTGGCATAGTGTCGCCCATCGGCATGAAACGTATTCAGACTTTGTTCACACTGGGTACCGTTAGGGTCGTAGATATCGCAGTTCAGTGTTGTAATCAGTAGCAATGTGTCCGTGGCGTAGGGGTGCCCAGTTACGTATTCCACGTGAAGGTCGTAGTAGGTCACTTCACTTATCTCTTGCAGGTGTTGACTACATCTAGCGTCCATTAACTGACACACAACTCTCATGGGTGGCTCCTCAAAGATAGGCTCTGCCGGCAGCTACACCTCGGTAACCTCTTCGACCAGCGGGCTAGACCAGGCAAAGTTACCCGGTATTATGTGTGCCTCCACAACCGATAACTAGGATTCCCTATAATCCCCGTTCCCTCCCACCGCTTCAAAGTTCTACAGAGCGAGCAACATGCAATCCTGTTGGTGGCCTAGGCGAACTCGCGTCGCTTTCCATTAAACAGAGCCGTACCCCTTATCGGAGTTCACCAACCGTCTGAAATGTCTTAGTAGCTCGATTTAGGGACAGCTCTGCATACCTCCTCGTGGCGGAAAACGCTAGATCACGCCATCCGGTAGAATACCGTGTCTCGCAGGTGCGAAACCCGCGGTCGGAATGGTGCAATGAACAAGGACACCCGTCGTACCCTACAGGCTGTCAGAGGGAGTCCGCTCATTCTGGAAGTCTGGAATGTTCCCTCCCTTTTAGACAATCCGAGGAGCAACCGACCGGAACGGCGGACGGCGCTCTGCAGGGTGGGCATCACTGCGCTCAGCGAGCCACGGTTCTCCGAACAAGGCCAACTGTAGGAGGTGGGTGCCGAGCTACACTGTCTGGAGCGGTCGCTCCAAGAGATGCGGGCGTCGCCGTTACCATCCGGAACTACATCGTGGAACGAATACCCGTCTGCTGCTGGGCATCAACGACCGACTGATGAGCCTGCGACTGGCTCTTCGAGAATACCGATTAGCCACCATCATTAACACCTACGCCCCACCAGGGACCAGCTCTGATGAAGCAAAGACCAAAGTCTACGAGGAACTGCATGCCCTCCTGACGGACTAACTGGTAGGCCTTGGTGACTTCAACTCCCACGCTGCCTGGAGGGGACTGCTGGGTTCCAATGAACTCTGCAGATGTAATGAAAACGGGCTCCTTCTTCGTCATACCTTCTCGGAACGTCGCATCCTCCTGACCAACATCTTCTTCGCCTCCTAACTCGGGAGAGGACGACCTGGATGTACCTTCAATCGTGGCGCTGGCAGCTACTGAACTATGCTCTCGTCCGGCGGCGCGATAGACAGTGTGTGCTGGTGACTAGGGCGATCATTGACGCCGATAGCGGGACGAACTGCTGCCTCGCCATCTCCAAGATGAGGCTCCGTCTGCAACCCCCCAGGAGGCCATAAGGTAAGTGACCACCATGTAAGTTAAATACTGTTCTGTTGCATTTGCCTGCTTACCGTTTGCATTTCAGCAAAACCTGAAAGCTCCAGGCGGAGACGCTTCCGTGGAGACTCCATGGTACCAACTGAGGGACGCTGTCTATTCAAACGCCGCGGGTGTCCTCGGACTCGTCCGAACCGGGACGGGTTCGACGAAAACGATGCAGTCATCAACAACCCGCTCGCTGAGAATAACAGGCGCCTTATGACCTACCTCGACCTTCCAACTGATGCAGACAGAGCGGTCTTCCACAAATGTTGTCCCCTTGAGCATCAACGATTACAAGAAAATCAGAACGCCTGGATGACTCGTAAGGCCGAGGAGTATGGCGACCGCAACGAAGCAAAGAACTTCTTCGTTGCGATCAAGGTGATCCAAGGCCGCCCAACGAAAGGAACTGAGCTGTTTCTCAGTTCCAGTGTTGAACGTTTCTGACGGGAAATTCGAATATTCTATAGCACTGGGCCGAGTAATCCAGGAGCGTCCTCAATCGCCTCTGCACAGTCTCTGACCTTGCTATCGACCGGCTTCCCCAAGTGGAAATCAACATTGAGCTGGATCTCCCGCCCCCCTTCCTAGAAACAGTCCGCGCCGTACCAAAACTATCCATCGAGAAAGCACCAGGATCCAATGCGATCCCAGCTGAAATCTACAAGCAAGGCGGCCGTCGATTAATTACTCATCGATAAGAAGGAACAAGAGCTTTATTAGCCTGATATTTCGGATTCTCACTCGAATCCATCATCAGAGACAGAGTCAGATAAGGGCAGTGTATCGCCCAGGTGTTGCAGTATTTATAGGATGTAGCTGCTGAGCCGCTACATGCCTATCACTGTTGGCAGCTCCCGAATACATCACGGCTCGACTGGCCAGGTGTTAAAGTATGCAGTTTCCGTGCAGTTGCTATGTCCTTTTGTGCCGGTCAAGATTATTGGCCCCCACGTTCATCGCACACAGACGAATTTCTGACTGCCGCGTTTCGGTGTTGACTCTTCAGGGAATTTGGCAGGCCAACACTGACACCAGGAGCTGTGGTCATCCGCATGCTCTTCTCGCGACTAACTACTTTGCCTAGGCAAAGTCTCAGCACCGAATATGAAGAGGGGAGGTCGTTGGACTGGTTGATTGATCGATGACCGGAAAATCATGACTCGAACAGTTGGCAGCTCACGCGGTTGTCGCCTCTGGCGAGATTTTCAGCGATCACGTCTCCTTCTTCACGACTCCTTCCTGGAACTCGCCTCTTTGCTTCTATTAACTACTTGCTCACATCCCGTCTCTCTTCCAGGAGATGAGACGACAAGTACAGGTCCCACAATATCTCAGGTACGCGATTGTCGTCCATCTTTAAAAGCGCAAAGGGAACCGGCAACCCTGTGACAACCACAGCGACGTCATGTTGGCAAACATTCCTGGGAAAGTCTTCGTTTGCATCCCCATCAACCGCCCTAACGACCATCTAGAACAGGGTCTTCTGCTGAAAAGCCACTGCGGAACTACCGACATGATTTTCGACTCTGGCCTGCCACAGGAGAAGTGCCACGAGATGCGAACTCACTACCACACTAGATTTCGACCCGGTGAATAGCGATGGACTGCTGAAAATCATGCAGACATTTGGTTATCCTGAACGATTCACGAACATGGGACATCAAGACCACGACGGGTGATGGGGCGCGTCATGGCAAACGCCGCGGTCTCCGAGGCATTCACAATGACCAACGGAGTGAAGGCGGGCTGCTCACTCGCTCCCATCCTCTTCAGCCTCATGTGCTTTGCCATCTTAATAGACGCCTACGGTGGGGATCGCCCTGGGATCCGCCTAGCCAACAGAATTGACGGTCATCTTTTCAACAGTTCGACTATCTACGACACCATTCCACGACCTATTCTTCGCGGACGGTTGCACGTCCAACACCCCGTCCGAAGAGGAGCATGGACCTCTTCGCCGCCGGGTGCATCAACTTCGGACTGACCATCAACACTGGCAAAACAGTGATCATGCTTCAACCACCACCCTACGCGGAATACAGAACTTCTCCAATCAATGCCCACTATATCCAACTTAAAACCGCGAACAGCTTCGCTTATCTAGGAAACAGGCTCTCGCGCAACACAAACGTCGACGACGAGGTTGCCCATCGGCTCTCCAAAGCCAGCCGGACCTTCGGGCGCCTGTAAGCCTGAAGATGTACAGGGCTATCGTCCAAAGAACACTTCTGTACGGAGCGGAGATCTGAACCGTCAATTCCGGTCATGTCAGGAATCTGAACCAATTCCATCTAAGCTGCCTCCGCAGAATACTGACGCTAAGATGCAAGACAGGACCTAGGAGAAGGAAGTCCACGTCTTAGGCAACTGAAATTCCGATGGAGCGGTCACCTGGTAAAGATGAACGATGCGCGACTACGCAGACGGCTCTTCTACGGAGGCGTCACGGAGGGTGCTCGCTGGCAGGGAGGACAAAAACGACGCAACAGAGACACTCTGAAGAACTCTCTGGAACGACTGAACATCAACTCCGAGGCTTGGGAGGTCCTCATTCAGAACAGACCGGTCTGGAGGAGAGCAGTGAAGACTGGCGTAGCAATCTAAGACGCAAACCGGATCGCCGCCCCTGAAGGCCAAAAAAAGAAGCTTACAAATCTCAGACGCTCCTGCCCCGCAACATGGCCATTCAATCCCACCCAACGTGCTCGCGTTGTCCACGAATATCCTACGCGCGGATCGGCCTCATTGGCCAATGCACCAAACTCCCCAAAACCACAAATGCTGCCTCCACGACCGCCCCTGCTTCAACCGCCACGCCAACCATGACGGCGCCCACCCTCACGATTCCCCATGCCCCACCGCCACCGATCACCTCTGCCTTCATCATGTCTTCTACAATCACCTCGGCGACGACTAACACACACCTGCCACCGATCGAATCGCTCCAGACGCGCCGGCAACCACCAACACTAACACCACCACCACCAATAACAACA